ATACATTTAATCAGGGAAGAAAGGCCGTGTTTAAGGTAAGTTAGAATTTTTGAAAACCCACACCCACTGATGGGTGTGGTCATCAACGCCTGCTTCACCTATCAAACGAAGTATAACATGCGACACATAGTTTTTGTCAGGAAAGAAAGTGCATCACAACAGTTCTATCTAATTTTCAAACGAACCACACCCCCAGATGGGTGTAGTCCTCGGCGCGTTCTAAAATTGCTGTAATCTAGGACATGCGATACCAATTCTTGACAGGAGGAACCGTGCGTCATATAAATGTCATCTAATATTTATAATAACCTCACCACCGATTGGAGTGGTTATCGGTGCTTTTTCTGTTATTGCAGTGGAGCATAACATGCGTCGCATATTTCTTATCAGAAAGGAAAACCCTTGCCAGTAGCTGCTGCTGATTTCGAGAAAGACCGCACCCATCAGAATGCGTGTGGCCATTGGCGCTTTGACTTTCACGGTGTGTAGCATTTGTGGTATTTCAAAATTCAAAGTCATGCTTTCCTTTCTTCTCTGACAATATATATGCACATGTCATATTTTGTTGGACAAGGCAAGCAATTACTGATGACCACCCCCATCTGGGGGTATGTTTTTTTAACTCTTAGGCGTCACTAAAGTGGTGGTCACTCCGTGACAAACAAAGACAAAGACAAAGTCAAAAAATATGTGCTACACATGATACTTTGTTGGGCAGACTAGAAAGCGCCGAGGACCACACCCATCTGGGGGTGTGGTTCGTTTGAAAATTAGATAGCACTGTTGTGATGCACTTTCTTTCCTGACAAAAACTATGTGTCGCATGTTATACTTCGTTTGATAGGTGAAGCAGGCGTTGATGACCACACCCATCAGTGGGTGTGGGTTTTCAAAAATTCTAAGTTACCTTAAACACGGCCTTTCTTCCCTGATTAAATGTATGTGTCGCATGTCACACATTCCTGACAACCTAAGAATGCGCAGATGACCACACCCATTTGGGGGTGTGGTTCTTTTGAAAATTAGATGGCACTGTTGGAATGGGCATTGTTTCCTGATAAAAAGTATGTGTCGCATGTTATACTTGGTTGGATAGAACTTGAAAGCGCTGCTGACCACACCCACTGTTAGGGTGTGGCTTTTTAAAAACTTAAGGTACCAGTGATCATGATCTTTCCGCCCTGATCAAAAATATGTATCGCATGTCATAGCTTCCTTGAATAACTGCGAAAGCGCAGACAACCACACCCCCTGGTGACCCTAAGGTCTTTATGACCTGTTAGCCCCTTTAGTAAACTCCGGTAGCATTACCAAGTAAAGTATATTCCAAAATTTGTTATTACACAATAAATACACTATTATTATAATTAATGAAGTTTGACCGTATCTTTAACTTGTGACCTTGATTTAAGGTCAGCCAGGTCAAAATTTAAAAAACTGGGAATTCGTATTCTTGACAATTGTCTAACGTTTCCAAAATATATTCAATTTTTCAAATCGGTTGAAAATTGTTAAAGTTATGCCAATTTCAATTTTCAATGTAATCCTTATGGGAAATTCCACACGCCTATTAATTCCGGACAAACCATAGCTACGGAGCTAAGCTTGTGTCGCATGGACGCCAAAAGTGCTGCGCCAGAGTTTTCTGCAACTTCCTTCCCAATTTTTTTCCAAATCCGCTTGAAATCTGCAAGGTTTTTGGGGTTTTTAGGATGTTTTGAGTATTTGGATTGCAGATTGCCCAAAAAGTTTTAATCGGACGACATTGTGGTAAGATTGGAGCATTTTCTATCTTGAGGACGAAATTGAGATTTTCGCTCTCCATGTAACCGTGACTTCTTTGGCCTAGTGTGACGTCGCCATGACCGGTCAAAACAGGACCTTCTCCATTTCGTGATGCTGACGAATCAAGGGAAGTAACCACTAACGAAGACATTCGTCTTTATAGATATTTTGGGTGATTGCCCCCTTGATAATGCATGGTCACGAAATGTGCCCCAAATTGTCCAATGTCTGGCCAACTAAATATTTTTCAGGGACCCTCCACTTTTGTTTAACTTTGTGGCCATAATCTACTTGGCCAGGGTCCCTGCAGAGGAAATATTGGTTGTCCGGTGCTTTGGAAGGGTCCTCATAGACATACGTTTCATCGTCAATGGGGCAACTTTGCCTGACAAGAAATCGTAGATTTTTCTGCATGCTGTCTTCGCACGATTTTCCTGGTCTTCCACATATTTTGGTACATGTTTCTTCACTCTAGCCTTGAAGCCCATTTTCTCAAGCTAGATTTGGGTGAAAGAAGATTTGGAATTTTTAAGTTTTGGGCAGCAGCAGCAGCTATGATAGAAAGTTTGCTTGTGATGACTTTCTCCGGTTTCTTCAAATTTTGAGGGGTTTCAGGGGTGGGGGTACGTCCGGGATTTTTTTAAAATTTCACATTTTCACAATCCTTATATATTTATCTGTAAGAATAAATTGTGGATTTTGGACATCCTTCAAGTTTGAAGTGTTGCCAGGTCACGGTAGAGTCAAACTCGGTCGTGGATTTATGGTACTGGCACACTCGGTTCATCAAGACTTCGCTTTCACTTCGTGTATTTCAAAGACTACTAATTTTGCCAATTTAAAACTTTGCACATTTGTCTATTTTGGAATGGGCTTTCAGAACAAAAATATGCCAGGGTCCGATTACTGCTCGTTTTTTAAAAAAACTACCCGCAACGTCAGTCAAGCTTAATCTGGGATTCGCTTTATTTTGCAAACACAATAGCATCTTCCTTTTGGTTGGCCCTCAAATCTTCAAAAATGTGTGTTTTTCTTAAATTTGGACTAGATGCCAGTCGTTTTCCTTGGCTCATTCCCGCCAAATTTTACTATCTTTTGCTTGTACACAATAATTCGCAACGAAATTGGCACATTTCGACACTTTTTGAATCGACGAAAAAAAACATAAGGTACCCCCCTTGGAAAATTTGGGTTTCCCATGCTATTTGCCATAAGGAAATCTAAAAACGGGCAAAAAATTTCCAAAATTTTACCACCCCCGATTTGGCTCATATTTTGCACATATAATAGCACCTATTAACCTCTCCTTTCTAGAGAAAAAAAGTCCCAACTTTCCTTTTGGTTGGCCCTCAAATCTTCAAAAATGTGTGTTTTTCTTAAATTTGGACTAGATGCCAGTCGTTTTCCTTGGCTCATTCCCGCCAAATTTTACTTGATCAAATTCTACAGAAGAAAATATGTCTATGAGGATTCTGTATCGTAGTATGCTGATCTTGTGTGCTTTCCTATCACTTTAACGCGTCATTAATCTTTTCAATTTTTCAGAATCTAAACTTTAATGTTTACTTATTTGTATAATTGACAATATTTAAGACCTTTGATCCAAAATATTTCACTACATTACTTCAATTGCTGTTGTTCTTGATTTCATGTTAAATTTACACACAAGGATACAGACATACTTAAGTAAGTACATACTTCAAAGAATATTATTCCATCACTTAATTTGGTATAATTTAAATATATTTAATTGCTTGTCATCGAAGCGAAGAGTACCACTTGTAACTCTTGCTAGGTTAACAATTATACATTTTTCGTACTTTACCTCATCGTTATCCGTGAAATAACCCATTTGCTTGTCAATAATTAAACCATCTTAAATATATGTAATGTTAACATATTTCTAATAAAAAAATGTTTTGGACAATTCATATAGCCACATACATCTTTTAAGATGGTGGGGTTCCCATATTTAGTTAAGTCGTAAGAACCGTAATGCATAATGGAAGTGACGTCATATTCAACACCGAAAGTTAGGGAACCCTGGTGTTGGAGTTTGATGCTGGTATTGGGGATCTGTTCAAATAAAAATAAAATAAAGCAACTGTGCAATATATATTTTGCATTGTCCAACTACTCAGATTCTGCACTGCAAAAATTAGGATTAATTAGCAACGTATAAAGCCGTACACAATTTCTTAAGCATTCGTTCTTTTATCACGCTGATATATTATTTGAAATACTTACTCCCATCTTGGGGCTCGTTGGGATAAACGATGATGTAATTGTCGCGATCTGGACGAGTTTGCTCACTGATGATTAATTCCCATGGCGTGGATATTTTCTTCCATAATAATTCTCTTGTAGACACATCCGTTTTCCTAGAGATTAATAATTTTTTGGCCACCCTCTAGAATTTGGTTTATATGATCAATACTTATCAAAATATTTAAGTATTCATACTAAAAATGTTAAAATTTTATCATCATTTTTCATACATTTCCCAGTCCCAGTCTAAGAATATCCCGAACCCCTACGTTTCTAAAGGTACACGTATTCCCCATTTGTAGCCGGTCCGGTGGGCCATTTCATGATTATAATGCAGATTTTGGTGCTAATTTCGTAAAACGAACAATCAATGAGTTGGGCCTGTTCTGTACTTAAGAAAAAATACTGAAGTGTAAAATTTATATTTTTCATTCGTTCAAGATCTCAGTCCAATCCGGGGCAAGGTGGACGATGTAAACCTTCCGCCAACGCACATATTCGTTCGGGTTTCCGGAAAGGGAACTGACTGCATAATGCAGTCTGAATTATCAGAATGGTTGGTTGAACACTTTCCTTCTTCACCGGTGGGGTTGAGGTGCTCCTCTGGAATTAAAAAAATAGTGATTGCTGTCATCACTTAAGAAAAATACGCGTTAAGATATTACCAAAACTGGCCAAGTTGACTTCGCGTTTACTCAGTCCGACTGGTCCTTTACTGGAAGGTGTCCCATAACAGGTAGTCCCTAACTGAAGGATGGTCACTGTTCCAAACCAAATATGCACCATTTTGAAAAAAATTGCATCTTTTTTGCAAATGTACTGTTATAATTTTCTACCTGTCTTGATTTTATACCCGGTTTTAACTACAAAAAAAGTTTAATACATAGGTTCTGGAATCTCTGTTGCGGTGTAAAACATGCACAATAAATAAAATCTGAAAAATAAGGTCGGACCACAGGAAAAAGTTTATGAACTAGAATATTAAAGATGGGATTGATGTTTTACGTTTACATTGGGGCTGGTCTGTAATCACAATCTACAAAACGTGGGGTGAAAATAATCCAGAATTGTGTAGCAAGGAAAATTTAATATATGTACAATGGGTTCAGTATGAAAACTTTTAATGAAAAGGTGTTAGTTGGAAGAAGTTAAAATAGAGCTAGGAGAAAGTTGAAATTTTTAAGAATCTGAATTTTGTGAAACTTAATTTGGAAGATGGTTTGACTTTTTTTTGCAATGCTTGCTTATATATTCATCTTTATGTATTAAACAATCCAGGCATTAGGTATATGTACTAAAGAACGTCCGGGAATGAATGGGAATGGTCTGAAAATGTGGTCATAAAATCACAATGAGTTATCGGAATTTTAAACTTTTTGCATATGTATAATACCAAATACGTACCTACATAATTTAATTAATAGCTAAGGCCGCCACACCCCTGTTGGCGACTAGTTCGATTTTCTTGCGAAGATTTTTCATTAAATTTTTTCCCGAAGTTTTTGCCACTTCCGAGGTGATTTTCTTCCATCGTCCTTTGAATTTTCGAAAGGTGTCAGGCACATCTTGAAGCCGGGAGTATACTGACTTAGAACGTGCCCAGAATTTTTCGATTGGGCGGAGTTGGGGTACATTAGGTGGGTTGATATCTTTTGGTACGAAATCAATATTTTTCTTTCTGAGGTACTCGGTCACTTTCTTTGCATAGTGACAAGTGGCGAGGTCAGGCCAAAACAAAACTTTATCATTTTTGTGAAACCTATTAATAAATGCTTCCAATCCAGCCTTGACGCAATGTTTCAGATAAATATCTTGATTGATATTCCCTTCGAGAACTACCGGGTCTGATACATGTCCGTGACTGGAGATGCATTGCCAAATGCAATATTTCTTTGGAAATTTGTCTTTTTTTCGTACTTTTTCTTCATAAGCCACTTCAGAGGGATCCGAGCTATGAAAAAAATGACGCCCTGGAAGATTTGAAGGGTCAACCGGAACATACGTTTCGTCATCCAGGATCACTACTTTTCCACGCATTTTCTTCAACAATTTTTGACAGCAATCCTTGATCCGACTTTCTTGTACGGGCTTGTAATTTGGTGCAGGTTTTTTGGTCCTTGCTTTGATTCCTAATTTATGGACCTTAATTTCCCCCAGGTAGCTTTTGGAAATTTTGACTTTCCTGGCAGCTACAGCTACTGACGTTGATGGCTTGGTTTTGAAAATTTTTTCAATTCTATTTTTCACTCGAGTGGTCGCTAGCTTCGCCGGACGACCAGCTGGCTTCTTGAATTGCACATTTTCGGAATCCTTGAACTTTTTTATGTAGGAATACACATTTGAACTTGGAATTCCTTCCTGCTTAAAAAAGTTCCAGGTCACCTTGGAGTCTCGGTTGGCTATCGTGTTGTAGAACTCCATCACTCGTTTTGCTAACAGCTCCCTTTCAAACAAGCTTCTTCTACCCTTATCCATTTTTGAAATTTAAGAGTGATATACCAAATTGACCCTAACGAAGTGGGCTTTCAGAAATTTAAATTATTATAGTTCGCGGGTTTATTGATTTGTCAATATACTCGCTAGAGCGCGCATTCCCATTCATTCCCGGACGTTCTTTACATTTATTAAATACCTTTTTTTGTAATTATTGGTGCTTAAATTGTACGTACATATGTAATGTAATGTAAATTCTATGCATTACTTAAATCTAGGGTGAATTGTAAATTAACGTAATAAATACATGAAATTATTGACAGCGTGAAGGGAACAAATTACATACCTATGTAATTAATCAGAAAGAATTTGTCTATAAATATAGTTAACATACTCAAAATGTTTTAAATTAATGATATCACTATGAAGGTACCTATGCAAGCATGAAATACCTGCATGCTTACTTCACCAAGCTGACAAAAACAGTCTACTAAATATAACATAACACCCTTATTCATTAAATAATTAAGATATGGTTCAGTACTTAAATGATTATGCATTACATACATTTACATACGTATATAAAGAAAGTCAGACTAAAAAGTTCGGTTTTGGTAAGGAATTAAATTGTGAACAATATTAAGACGCTAACTTCATATTTTGCTTAAACTTATATTCAGTTGTCATCTTGCCGAATGCATCGTTTACCGAATGACCGGTTCTATATTTAAATTCTATATTTAATGGGTAGCAAATAAATACCATTATTTTGCCCTAGTCTAAATATATATTTCCAGAGAACTTATTATAAATATGTAACAGTATATTTCTTAAATTTTTGTTAACAGAACTTTTATCAAGTATCGCATTAAAATTTAGTTAATTGGAGATGGAAATGAGTGTTAGGGAAATGGATGAATGATGATAAGTAGGCATCCTTCTCGAGAGGAGAAGGATGGCTATTTAGGGAATAAGACTGCAATTTGGGAGATTGTAGTCTCATTCCCAAAATAATATACTTAGGTAATGTTGGTTAAGTAGTATTTAAGAGGAGAAGGGCGAGATCGAGAAATTCTGAGAAAGAGTGGAGTTGAGGAGAGATTTTGAGAAGAGGAAGAAAGTTAGTTAAGTCAGGAATAGAGAGTTAGTAAAGAAGAGGAGGAGGGCCTCCTGTGAGGGGTGCCCTCACAAGAGGGGTAGGTTAAGAAATACTGAAATAAAGGGTTTAGTTGGACTAGCTAAAACGATCAGTGGACTTGTTGGCATAATAAGCATCTCCGGAGTGTAGAAGGTGGGCCGGACTCCTCCCACTCCTCACATCCGTTACATAAAGACGTTACCACGTAGGAAAGAGATATTTAACTTTCTAAAATGGTGCCCCGATTTCGAGAACTGGCGTCTCTGGATCAGACACAAAGATGCCTTTACTTCTCACTTTAGTCTGGATGTGACATGGTATAATTAGAAGTGAGTGACTTGTTCAAGATTTTTTTTCGAAAACAGGATTACGGGAGTTCATGAATACAGATAAGTTCATTTTTTTCGCCAATTCTTTTGCATTTTGTGTTCTTGTCAATAGCTCAATAAGACAAAATGGGTAGGCTTTTACGTGATCCTTTAGGTGTTTTGGAGCATAATTTGCCTAAGTTTTATCATCATAATTTTTCTTTGACACATTTTGTATATGCCCAATATCAGCATTTTTTACACATTAAAAGTCCATCTCCTAAATTGGAAGAATTCGCTGTACAACTAGTTATTCGGCAGTTATTACAAAAATCTATTATAATCATGTCAGCAAAAGAAATTTTAACTTTTTCGGATTTAATTCTTCTCATCGATCCGCAAGTGGCACATTTTCTCTTCAATTCAGAGGCAAAATCTACACTTGCTTACCTTAAATTATAATTTTTCACAAAATCATTCAGCAAATTTTTTGGGCATCATGATTCTTTACATGTATAGGGTTCCGTAATTTTCTAGTAAATTTACAATTTATTTGCTAATTTTTGTCTGACTAACAATCTGCATATCTCTCATCTATCTTTTTATATTCATAAATCACTAACCTCAAAATATAATTGGAAAAAAAGAGAAAAACAAATTTTGCATGTGTTTTGGTTCCCGAAAATTCATAGTTTATTTTTAAAATTGGTCACACATCTCACTTATACATTTAGGTACTTAAAAGTACGCCCCAGGATTCTCAAAAGAATAGAATTGGCATTTATGCAAAAATAATCGGTAACCCACTTCACTTTGAAAAAAGTGCAGCATTAAAATAATCATTTCGGTAGTCGTTGGCACCCTGGGTTACATATCCACATCTCTGCATGAAAAGTTGGCGTCCTTTCCTTTTTCTTCAACAAATACATCCATATATGTGTATGTAGACACATATGTATGTGGAGCAAATCTAATCTAGGCATCAACCTTTTGGGTTGGAGTTGAATTTTCTCTTCGTGGCTTCTGTAATTTTTAGTCATTAAGTTCATAGATACGTAAGGGTTAAATGTAACTTTACTGATTTAGGTAGGTTTGGAGTATTCATAGCATAGATGTTTTTGGGAATTTTCTTCATCCACTTTTACAAGTCTGGGTTTCATGAGGCCTAGGACGTCGCTTTCGTCTTTCTCCGGGTTTTGTGTTGATATTTCTCTCATGTAGTAGGAACTTTGGTGGTGTCTTACTATTTCTCTCATTTTACAGGAGATGGTTTGGGTAGTTTTAGTTTTCTCATTTATCAGGTTCTTAGTTGACTCTTTTTCATGTTGATGGAAAGTGCAGAGGGTAATAAATATGTCGCGTGATGGGTGGCATTCTTCTTCTTCATTTCTAATTTCGCGTCTCCAAGTAGTTCAATTCTCCGTACGAACAATGATTTGTTGTCATTTTTCTTTACTTCTTCTGATACATAATGTTTATTCTGCTTTCTGACTTTATGTTCGGTTGTCATAAGGTTTAATCTCTTTATTGGTTAAACAATTGCTGTAATAATTTCGGCAACGGCATATTTGGTAATATAGGGAGACGATTTTCTTCTCATTTTTCGAAAATGATTTCGTCATTTTCAGTATGAGAGGTACATTAAGTGCCAAATTTTGAGTTGGTAGTTTGTTACTTTTTGGGGTTGCCCTGCTCTAAGTCAGAGGGAGGCCTTATACATTAAGGCACTCTGCCCACTCGAATTGTTCTCATTGGGGGAGTGGCCGGGGAAAGTTTTGGAAGAATTGTCTTCCGTAAGCATGGCATTGCTAGGTGGAAAGGTCTGTACTTAGGGGATGAGTAAGGACCTTGGGAGGGGGTTCCTCATAAGGGGCTCTTCGCCTTCTCCTTTTCTCCTCAAGGTAACCTGTGAAAACGGACTTCAGGACAAGAGTGGCGTCTCTGTCAGGTTCATCTTGCACAGAATTTTATGATTGAATTAATAATAATATGAAGATTCTACCGGTCCTTGGACTACCTTTCAAGGCCTCTAAGGATGAACCTTTAGTGATTCGTAGAAATTAAAATTTCCAAAGTGATACCGAGAGGGGATGTCACAACTTTCCCAGTAACGTTGATAACTATTTGTGAAATGATTGGAAGTGTCAGCAGTTCGGATGTAATTTTTTGAGAAAAATAAGCAGCCAAGGGACGCGGTACGCAACGGAAGTGGTCACGATGGACCCTTTGGTTTTGTGGTAGTTTAGTGGAATGGATGGATATGTTCCGCGTGCATTTTGCATTACTTTTTCATATAGTAGGGTTGGGAGTAGTAGGATATCATTCGTAAGATCAATTCCTTATCATAAGTTCCTTGTTACCACAGTTGTAACAATAATTTAGTATTGCATATATCGCATTGCGACACATATACCATTTATGTCACAATTTATATAAAAATACACAATAGACACAAAATACTGTTGTGGAAATAGATGACCTCGCATAAATAGAGATAAAAAGAGAGATCAGAGGGAGGTTAGATTAGTTAAGAAACATATGTATTTTGGTAGTGAATATTACAGCAGGAAGGTGGAGGAGGTGAAGGGTCCTACTGCCGTGGGATTGTCTCACGGCCGGAGGGGAAGATTGTCAAATTAATAAAGGACTAGTTAAGAGAGACAATGGGTTGAAGTGTACTTTATTGGTGGAGGGAGAGGAGTCTCTTCCCCCCCGCGACAATTTATAGCAATTAGAATATATTTTCTTTTTGTCATAGCATACTTTCACGGTTTATAATTTGGGGAAGTTGGCGGGACACAGAAATATGTTTAACGAGTGACAAGAAAACATTTTTTTTCATCATCGCCTATTTTGTCAAATATATTCTCCAGCTCCATAACCACCCCATGAAAACGTCTGCGAACTTCTTAACAACGCCTTGTGAAATTAAAGAAATTCTCGGCAACTAAACAAGAAAGTAATCAACCATGTTCCCCTTGATTAATTTCTCCTATATTTGTCCAAAATCAATTAGTTTTTACACCAAATTGTAATAAATGTTAATGTGACACGTCACATCGATCTCATTTGTGTTCTGTCGCTGGGATAATACAAAAGAGTATTATTTAACTATTCTATGAAGGCAGTCCCAGTCTGCCTTGTTCGTTGAAAATTGGGACACTTACATTACGTTTGCAAATTATTTTATTAAATTTAATTATTAGACGTAATACATAATTGTCATATATTATCCATAATTATTAAGAATTATTCATTTATGATATGCCATGAAATGATGATTTGTATGTATGCATAAGCCTGGGGCAATAAAATGACAATTGAAAAGTAATGAAAATATGGGTTTCATTTAGTGTCTTCGCTATTTACATTTTAGTATTTTTTAACTTGCAGTATTTCTGGTAAAAGATTTAACATTTCTGCAGCAAAAGTAAACCATAAGTACAAACATTCACCACATGACCAGTGGCCAAAGTGCCTCGCATGTAATAACACGACGACGACGGATGCGTCTTTAACTCTCCATATGAAAACTTGCAAAGGTAAGGTTTAAAATTAATTAAATGCACTTTGAAAAATAATTATTTTATCATTTAGCGTACAATACGCTCATGTCAGTAGTCAAGCCCTGCTTCGTAATGGTGGAGAAACTACCCACTCAAAAATTGGAGCAAACAACACCACCACCTAAAAAGAGACAGGTCGAGCAACGAAGAAAAGAAGGGCAGCAAAGAAACCCTCCAAAACTTCGCCATGATCTCCCTCCTGATTAATTATTATATATGTATCCGTCTTATATTATTCGCCTTATATATATATATACATATATATATATGACGTCATGAAAGTCATTACTTCATTAAATCTGAGTAAACTCCAAAATGATGACGTCAGTGGTTTTCATTTATTTCAAAAATTGGCAACTTTCCAATTGAATAGTGGCGAATAATACACAACATATAATTAATACATATACTCATATTTTGTAAAAGACATCCGTCTCGTCTCCCACCGACATGGGTATTAGACATGATCAGAGACGATCATTGATAAAACGGCCGAAGTGTTGTGGAGATGGATGGATTACCATCGTAAGTAGGTTTACGGGATGAGAATGCAAGATCTGGGAGATTGCATTCTCATCCCAAAATAATACATTTAGGTATATAAACATATATATAAGAGGAGGTCGAGATCTAGAAAAAGAAGAGAGATAGCTTTGGTAGGAGGAAGAAAGTAGTAACTCTTGAGAGAAAAATAGGACATGAAGTGTTTGGTGTACTAATTAGCATAAGACGCACCCCCATCAGGGTGGAGGGGGAGGAGGCCCTCCTCCACGCCGTAACAGTATGCTTGCTAAATTTGCAAAACTTTTCCCTGTGAAATGGTGAAATGGAATTCATGAGCAAAGCCATCAAACAACAAAAAACCAGAGTAATACCAACCACTCTGGACTTTAATAAATATTATAATTTCTCTCAGTATCAATATCATCGATGTTGAGAGACCCAATTAAATTATAACTGATTTAATATAATATATCGCCATTATTTTTTATTTTAAAGTTTATGACCACGCATTTTATGTCAAGCGACCTTAAATGAATTCAACCTGACAAAGAGTTGAAACTGAGAACATTTAAGTAAATACTTAAAGTAATAATTGTTTGCTGTACGGTTTCCGATTAGTAATACGATTAGTGTCCTAACCATTTATTACTTCTTTAAGGTAACAATGTATCATTAGTACTTTCCAAGTTTTATTCAATTCCTAATGATATATAAATCATGTTAATAACATGATGTTGTAATCTGTTCGCTTGCTTTTGTATCATCCTGTGGATTAGATATGGAGCAAGAAATATGTAATTAATAAGAATTCAAGGTAGCGCATTAGTTAGAACTTTTAAAATATTATTCACATCTCTATCAACATCGCGTATTTATCCACAGGAAACGACGAACAACAGATGAACATTAGAAACGAAATAATTTAATTTAAATAGGCCACTGGATAGTGAAGAAAATTTTTTGTATCAGTATGTATGTTTGAAATACGCAGGAGAGTTGGTAAGTAATGCGAATATATTTTTTTCTAGAAATATGAACACACCTGGCAAAATCACCTCTGACCATGTTGAAATGCAGATAGCTTGCCATTCTCCATAAAAAATTGGCTCGTTTCGTTTATTATTACCTCTACGCCATCCATTTGAAATTTAGCTTATTCAAAAAATTACTTACGAGATTATATTTTTATTTTTCCCACAAACTTTGTCATTTAAATTTTCCCCTTGAGGTTGTAAAATCGGTAATTTCGACACTTTCTCAACTAAACAAAACTAGCCAACTGTCAAAAAATTAATTTGAACAATAGAAATATTCACCATGTAATTTTTAAAATCTCATGAAAAATATGGCAAACATAACGGTCATCTTCCCTCATAGCCGATTTATAGATCCCAAACTGTGGATAATCCGTATCAAATATACAAATTATTAAAACGTCATGCCTTATCTATATTAATTACAAATTTTGTTATTATGCAATACACATTGTCAAAATATGCAATGAAAATAGTGAAATACCAAAATACCCAATTTCATAAACGTTTGTGAAATCCGAGTTTGAGATGACGTTGTAAGATGGTGTGAGACGATGATGACAAAAAATTAGTATTTTTTATGACCGTGGCTATCTTTTTACTGCAGCATGGCCATAATTTTTATAACAATATTTGCTTACATATTTTATTTACAATATAAAAAGCAATTACTCAAAATCTAAAAATATACGCGGACGCAATTATTTGATCCAGCTAATTTTCATTTGGATAGTGTAGGAGTAATAATAAACGAAACGACCCAATATTTTATGATGAATGTCAAACTGTGCGCACCTACAGATTACCTGAAAAGATTTTGCCAGATTTGTCCACGTTTCTCGTGTTTAATCCTACCTATGAAGCAAATTTAGTTGGACATGGTCGACATTAATTCGTAATATACCCGTATTGTTCACAATTTATTTCCGCTACTCTAACCGATGAAAATTAAGTAAAACCTTACAATTATGTAACAACTAAAACTGCATTATATGTATAAATTAAAGAATTATCCTAGAAACAAATCTTCCTGATGCAATTTCCTTAAATTTAAACGTTTATTGGTGACGAAATAAGGATGCTTTTTTTAACACCAACCTTGAAGTTCAACGATCCCAAATATTCAGGTCTAATTAGCATTTGTCTGGTAATATTGGTTCATTAGATCCATCATTTCGGTTCCGCATTTTAACCTAAAATAGAAAAATTTATAATTAGTTACTGCTTGAAAACCAAAAATACAAATTGTAATTTTTTATAGTTATAATTATGAAATAGTAATTAATAATAATAATAGTAACTATATAGCAAGCCATAAACATATCTAACGAAGTTCCTTCTTTATTGAAAATATAAGACGGGGGTACGAATTAACTAAAGAACAATGAATATTTGACAGCTAAATTGTTTCACAAAAAGTTATGCAGTAACAATTATTATTTGTTGTGTGGTTACCTAATCCTTACAAATTCTTCTATTTGCAAAATTTAAAACAGCTTATATTTGAGGTTTGATTATTCTGTAACTGAGATAAATCCCCCAGTCTTACATTTTGATATTTAAAATTGTGATTCTACAAATTTTTATTCGATCTAAATGTTATATAAATGTGTATTAAACACTATAATATACATATTTGCCTTACTCAGGATTGTTATTTGTTTTACTTCCTTAGCCCTGGCTTTCAACGTGTGAGTAATCTAGATATTAACATTCGTAAACATCTGTTAGAATTTGTAATTGATTTAGTCTCCCATGATTAAGTAAGGCAGAAAAGAAAATATGGCAGGGCTATAAAATTTTATAATCTAAGACGAACTTATTACTACAAAACACCAAAGGTTTGATAAGGGATAATTTATATCAACTGCTGGTAAGAATAGAATTGTCAAAGTAATCCTGGCCTAACCAGTAAATTACATATGTATGGTGAGAATAATTTCAATATTGTGTTTAAATAATTTATGACATCGTGTTATTCTTAAGAATTGTTTCTGACTAAATTTTTATAGGGACATAACAACGTTGTTCCATTATAAATTTATTGTGATATGTGTTACAAAATTTCTGGTGCTGTGTGAGTCTACATAAACCCTGGAACCGTTATTCTGTGTTACTCATTCAGTCATTAATGAAAGATTTAATACCTGGTGTCAAAGTATGTTTGTCAACTCTGCAAAATCTAAAGTTGATAGGGTCTGCATCCTAAATAAATTTGTATTGAAGTGGTTAATTTATTGTAATTATAAAGTAATTAATAAAAAGAATTACAATTGTGTGTACATACATATGCTAACTTTCAGCAATGCCGTTGTTCCATATCGTATAGAATGACTTTCTCATTATTCAATTAACTGCTGCTTCTGCTGAAAAAATACACAAATAAATTAATCTCTTATAGACAGTGGTCGAGAAAATACGACAACGTGGTCATTTTTAAGTTGAGAATTATGCATATTTTATTCATATAAAATGCCGAGCGTTATCGCAAAATGCATTCGAATTTCAGATTTGTTGTCGGGTTAAAATTTGATTGCATAATTTTTACCTAAAAGCTGACATGATTGTCGCACAAATTATTTGTCATACTATAATTTCGAATAAAAACAATTAGGAAGATTTTAACTTTTATAGATTTAATAGACAAGAAACACAACATACCTGGGTCGATAGATTTTGCCTGTCAGGACAACTTTTTCTTATGATATATTTAAATACGTATCTGTCTGGAAAACAATGAAGTCCTTTATTAATTTTATCAAATAAATTGGCACGACTTTTTGCTTAATTTTATAAATATTTTGCCAAAAGTATGTGACTATTAAACAAGGACTAAATTTGGTTAAAAAGTTGAAAAACTTTTTTAGAAATTAAAAAAAATAAAAAACTTTGATTTAATAAATTTAAAAAAATTAACACTCAAAAAAATATTTAGCCAATGAGATGTGCAAAATAGCTATGAAGGTTTGTTAAAATTTTCCCGAACTTAATAACTTGATATATGCAAATACTTACAAGACACTATTATCTTTAGTGAGAATAAAATATTTAATTACGTAAAGAACTATAGTCACCAGCGACACGTTTTAATGAGGGGACTGGCAATTTTGCCAGCCCCCTCACCCCAAGAAGTCACTTTAGGAACCAATATGTTTTTATAAATTTTCACCAGAACGACTTTCAAATACACAAGTGTCGTCACAACGAAGTCCAAACCGGTACTGGGGGTAACATTAGTGAGAAAAACTTGGCTTGGTCCCTTGTTCCGGACCGTGCATATAAAATGTGATTGATTACTCGAAAACTTATCTAATACTATATATAAGCCAATATAATGTTAGTTTGCAAAAAAACTTATGTTTCTACATTGACGATTTCAATATCGAGTTGACGACATCCTGAGTACCCGGCCCCTTCATTCTCCATGTATGCAAGCTCTATTTTTAGGCATCTCTTGTAAAACTAAATCTGTCGTCATAAACACATCACACCATAAAACTGTAGGGAATTGCAGCACCGATTGCTCAAGGAACACGTCTGGGCCACATATGAGACGAAAAGAGAATGGAAAGTTGCTCATGAATTCTACTTGGTTGTATTTACGTATTAATTCTTTAAAGATATGAACGAAATGTGTACCCTGATTTTCCCTTTTTTGTTTTTAAACCAACATTTTCATGAAACGGAAAAGGATCTCTCCATAATGCGGAGTCCATGCAGTACCAGAGAATCGGCAACGGAAACTGTCAAATCTTAATAAACATACAGCTAAATATCCTTGTAATGTCAACACTGCCTACATAAATACGGAATCTTAACATCCTACTAGTGGCATTGTGTTACATACATACATAACCCACATAGTGTCCGAGGAAGAAGGAGGCATTGCCCCTCAGTTTTTTGGTGTCCACTCAATCTGCGTATGTTAGAAATGTCCCTTTCCTATCCTATATTATAAAAATCCCCTGTGTCCCACCTACATAATTCTGCCGATCATGCATATGGTCCCTCGGTACCTCACCATTCATTGTATACCAGTACTGTTTGTTATGTGTGTGGATAATAAATACTGGGAAATAAATCGGTTGTTTTTCAAATTTGGGTGGGGGTACACTTCTTTGGATTATTATTCTTAGTAATGCAAATACATACATTGTAACAATAAAATCACTACTTGTGATTATGCATTCACCCACCCAATAAAAGTGACCATGTCCAATTTCTCAGTCATTTATTAGCCTATTTTAATGAAATTTGGCACATATGTTGAATACACAGTTAACACACGACTGAAAACTAAATTAACTAAATTATGTCCACAACCGGTACCATATCATTCTTCAATAAGCCATTAACGTTCAAAATCTGTTGAGAAATGAAAAAGTTGTTCCGATTTAGCAAAATACAATAAAATAGTGGTAGTGAAAAGATATGTATATGAAGGTCGGTACGTTATTACGAAACAACATCCAAGATATAATGACAAATAATTATTTTGTCCGTATGCCATCCTATTAAACAATAAAATATAGTAATTCTTAATCAATTTAATTATGTTATTCTAATTGGATAAAAAATTATTAAGTAAATAAATAATGTAAAAAAACCCTACTAAAAAAACTGCGTCCGCACTACTACGTCCTACTCTATTGAAACGATTGTTATGAAAAAAACAATGGTCCGAGTTAGGGCTTATGTAATCGTCATGTTCGTCCGTCTCTCTGTGTGTCTAAGATAACTATCTATAAACTTATTCGATCGGGCTAAAGTTTTCACCAAATGTTTATTGGGTAAAAGCACGAACTTAGTTCCACGATGAGCCAAATCGGTGAAGTGGTTGACCTGCGGGAGTCACTTAAGTGGTGGGGATATTATGCACCAAATTCCAAAACAGTCGTAGAAAACTGAAATTCGCATAAAGGTCTCTAATGAAAGAATATGAAGCAAAATTAGAAAAAAATATACCAGGAAGTACCTTATAGGGTGACACACATGAACTATCCTATGCTTAGGTCATTCTGTGTCCCCGCAAGTTACGGCCGCATATGCTGCTATTATTTATTCATGGATTTATGCCTTTGGAATTTTGGATTTCCCACGTTGTACGCCGTAAATCAATCCAAAAACGGCCAAAAATTTCCAAAATATTACCACCCCCGATTTGCTCATATTTTGCACATATAATAGCACCTATTAACCTCTCTTTTCTAGAGAAAAACGGTCCCAACTTTCCTTTTGGTTGGCCCCTCAAATCTTCAAAAATGTGCGTTTTTATTAAATTTGAACTAGTTGCAAGTCGTTTTCCTTAACTCATTCCCGCCAATTTCTACTATTTTTTTCTTGTACGCAATAATTCGCAACGAAATTGGCACATTTCGAAACTTCTTGATTCGGCGAATAAAAAAAACAAATGCACCCCGTCGTATCGCATGACCTACTTCGCAATGATACGGTTCAGCGCCGCTAACCACATCCCGTGACCCCAACCAATGAGAGTATGTCCTTAATTTTGATTTTATTGACAGAGCAGCCTCCAGGAAGGATACCAGGTTTCGAAATTTTAAATTTCGAGACAACTACCTATTTCAGTTAATATATATGTTTATTTTATGTTTAACCTTCCGACCTTGATTCCAACCCAGCTAGCAGGTCGAGATAGTCGATACGAATTCTCCACGAATTCGTCGCTCTATGTCCGCAACTTCATGAGAATTCGTGCAGAATCCAAGTTCTCTACGAATTCTCTATGAAGTTGCGGACATAGGGCGACGAATTCGTGGAGAATTCGTATCGACTATCTCGACCTGCTAGCTGGGAAGTCAGTAGAATCGAAATCAAAAATTTTGGAATTAAATATTCTTTAATTTGAGTCAATGTTTCCAAAACATTTTCAATTTTCGAAATCCGTTAAGAATTGACAGAATTACAAATTTTTGAAATTCACTTGTTCTTAATCATTATCTCATGCGTTTAAAAAGTTTCTTCTAAAAAAACTCTTTAGCTATTAGATGGATCGTGAACCTCGACAGAAATCATTTGTTAAGAGTACAACATAGGAGGGTTCGCACTCCTTGTGCCACCCATTTTTGTCATTTCACATTTAAATAGATTAATTGCATATAAGAACATGGCGGAAATTTAACGTTAACACGGTTCTACCGTTCCCGGTTCGTCACTTTGAAGTAAATGCCCAGAATTTTTAGTTATTATATTGTTCTCCTTCCCAAAATGTTTAGTGATTTAAACCTTAACAGCAAGATATTGCCAGGTTACACAATTTACCATGAACAATGAAAGAAGGGTTTTACACGTGATACTATAGTCTGTTTCAAAATATAAGAGCCTTTTTTGATGCATGGGGAAATCCGTAAAAATCTGCTAATTTCAAATATGAATAACTTTATCAATTCTGAACGGATTTTTGAAATTGAAAAGGTTTCGGAAACCTTGTAACATTTTCAAGAATATATAATTTCAAAATTTCAAATTTCGACACCAGTGCCCTGGAATCAAGGTCACAAGGTCAGACAATGGAAAAATTTCATTGCGCTATTACTCAGTGTATGTACGATTTGGAATTCAAAATTTGGAAAAATAACTGCAATAAACTTTGACCAATCCAGTAAATTGATTATTAGGTCCAAAGGTCGATGGGGGTGGTCAGGGGGTGTGGTTATTGGCGCTTTTGCCAATATTAACATAAAGTGGGACATGCGACACCAATCTTTCTTCAGAATTGAAAGGGCAATCCGGCGGTAATAACTAAGACGTTTAAACCACACCCTCCGGTGGGTGTGGTTGTTGGCGCTTTTGCTAATATTAGCACAAAATGGGGCATGCGGCACCAATATTTCTTCAGAATTGAAAGGGCAATCCGGCGGTAATAATTAAAACGTTAAAACCACACCCACCGTTGGGTGTGGTTGTTGGCGCTATTGCCAATACTAAAACACAGTAGGCCTTGCGACACCAACATTTCTTGAGAATTGAAAGGTTAATCAGACAAAAATAATTAAAACGTAATAACCACACCCCCAGGAGGGTGTGGCTATTGCCAATATTTAAACAAAGTGGGGCATGCGACACCAATAGTTCTTCTGAATTGAATGGCAAATCCGATGGTCATAACTAAAAAGTAACGACCACTCACTTATTATGAAATAAACAATGAATGAATGAATATTCGCTGAATGAATGGATAATGAATGAATAATTCCTTATTTTGCGTTAAGTGACTGGATTCTTTAATCATTAATATTTTATCCTATGTTTAATAAATGGGGTGAACAATTAATGTGCGAATAAGCCCCACTTTGTTTTAATATTGGCAAAAGCGGCAATATCCACACACATTTGGCGGTGTGGTTATTACGTTTTAATTATTGCTGTCGGGTTGCCCTTTCAATTCTGAAGAAATGTTGGTGCCGCATGCCCCATTTTGTGCTAATATTAGCAAAAGCGCCAACAACCACACCCACCGGTGGGTGTGGTTTAAACGTCTTAGTTATTACCGCCGGATTGCCCTTTCAATTCTGAAGAAATATTGGTGTCGCATGTCCCACTTTATGTTAATATTGGCAAAAGCGCCAATAACCACACCCCCTGACCACCCCCATCGACCTTTGGACCTAATAATCAATTTACTGGATTGGTCAAAGTTTATTGCAGTTATTTTTCCAAATTTTGAATTCCAAATCGTACATACACTGAGTAATAGCGCAATGAAATTTTTCCATTGTCTGACCTTGTGACCTTGATTCCAGGGCACTGGTGTCGAAATTTGAAATTTTGAAATTATATATTCTTGAAAATGTTACAAGGTTTCCGAAACCTTTTCAATTTCAAAAATCCGTTCAGAATTGATAAAGTTATTCATATTTGAAATTAGCAGTTTTTTACGGATTTCCCCATGCATCAGAAAAGGCTCTTATATTTTGAAACCGACTATAATAATTACACGTTTCAACATGTGTCAATTTAAGTTAATGTTTTTTTTGTCCTTGGGAAATATTCTATTGCCAATTTTACATTTTCATATATATACGTGTAAATACATATGAGGACAATAAACTTTTTCGAGTAGATTAAAAAAAGCTAAGCACACGTACGTGTCCTTAGCTTTTAGCTGTAGTGGTTATTAACGTTAACATTAATTAAAAAAAATAAGTTCACTAAAAAAATAAGTAATTCGCATTTCGCATAGGAATGTTAAGTGTTAAGTTGTGATGAAAAAGT